GCTATGGCGAGCAGGAGCTGGACGCCAACTCCGCCCTTATGGAGTTGGACAAAGGTGAGACCGCGCGGGCTCCGATTTGTGGGCGACCTGGGAAAGCGGGCGTGTGTCCACTGCAGCTGCCTTTGGCTCCCGCTCCCTGCCCGCCTCCGCGCTGTGGGGGGAGGCCTTGTACCGCCCTGCGGCTCTCAGCTGCTGGGAGCTCTGTTTTGTACCGTTTTGTCTGGAGCGAGCGTGGATGGAGGGTCTGATTCTGGCGGAGCATCGATTTCGCCCAGAATGTGTTGGTTTTTTTTTGTTTAGGCCTCAGGTCTGGCAAACTCGGGGAGCAGTGTGAAGCCGTCGTTCGTTTTCCAAGGCTCTTCCAGAAATATCCTTTCCCTATTCTTATTAATTCAGCTTTTCTAAAGCTAGCTGATGTCTTCAGAGTGGGGTGAGTATCATCAGTCGGTTTCTGTCCAGTCAAATCTCCCATCCATAGTAACGTACTGTGTCTTGGACTGGTGTCACACTGGAGCCTGGGCAGCTGTGGAGTTTTTCTGTTTGCCTGGTAATGCCACTGTGGTACCTACTCGACTGAGGACAAGCTGTGCTTGACTGAAGCTTGCTTTTCCCTTCTTTGGTGGGCTTAAGGGGCTGTGAGTGATCAGTGACACAGTTCCTTTCTATCTGTCCTGATTTGAGAATTGCTAACTGACTGGTTTAAGTTCACTGGTGTAAATTCCACTTCATAAGCGTGTTCAGACTCATAGTTAATAAATAGATGAGTGATCGCATGTGCAAATTCCGTCTCTAAGGAACATTAACAACAAAGCCCAAAGCATAGATTTTCCAAGTGCCTGATGCCTAAATGATGCATGGGATAGAATTGGAGCTGCTTTGTAATACCTTACAAAGTTATCTGTTGCTGTTCTGGTATCTTCACTGTTTGCTTCAGTAAGGAAAAGAAATTCATTCATACCTGGCAATGACAATTAGATGTTTCTGTCTTAGTCTTGGACATGCTTTTCTAGCAGAATTAGATCCGTAAGTGTGCACAAAATGGGCATCTGTATGTACTCCTCACTAGTGTCAACAGGTTCACTTCCCTGGAATTGGGCCTAAATTTGACACTACCTGTACTAGAATATAAAACGGTAGTGTGTTAATAGTCTCTTTTTAACTATATCAGTCTACTTAAATATGTGATTTCCAAAGCACAGACATTTGCTTGTTTTATTTAACTCTCAGAAGCTTTTTTTTAAAAGTCATTTAATGTTTAAAGTGTTTGAATTTTTATTGTTAAACAGCATGATAAAAAAATGTGTGTGTCTTTTAATAGAAACAACTTCCTTAGGCTGTGTGTGCTGAAAGTTACTCAGCAGAGTGAGAAGCACTTGGAGAAGATCTTAAATGTCGATGAGTTTGTGAAAAGAGTTTTCTCAGTAATTCATAGCAATGATCCAGTTGCTCGAGCTATTACACTTCGGTATGTATTTCATAAATAAACCTAATTCACTTGAAATCTCTACCTAGTTATTAGTGTGCTAGGCTGGGATAACAAAATCTGCAACTACCATGGGTGAAGCATAGGAGGTGTCTTCTATATTGGCCATAGAGTTAAAAGCAAAGACATCTGTCTTAAAGGGGATCTGTCTTAAATAAGGATCTGTAATTGGAGAACAAAGTTATTAACCATTTATGATGGTAAGAATTGTGTGGATGGTGTTTGCAACACTGAAAGAGAAGAAAAATACAACTCTTGTATGCATAAGTTAAATGTCTGTAGCTGTATGCAACATATGATATATTGTATGCGACATATTTAGACCAATATAAAAAAGGAAAGTACTTCCCTATGTGTGAAAATATCTTTTGTTAACTTATAGATAAAACTTATTTATGTGAATCTTGTTACACTTACACTTACACCTCTTTCATTTATTGTTGTGCTAGACGTTTACTGCTTGTTGTTCTCTGATGATAACTTCAAAGGGAATGCCCTTGTATTGTTGCTTTGGCCTTCCTAGGTATCAAATGGAGGGAAAAAATTAAATTAAGCTATCTTTATCTCACTGTCCTGCTGTTTTGATGTCTATGTCTCTAACGCTACCCAACATGACCATCTTAACTGTTTCTTCAATCTTTTATGCAAATGAAGAGAGCAGTCATATTTTTCCTTTTGTATTTTCTGTCTGTCCATCTAGAACTGTTACCAACTTCACTGTTGAAAGTTGAGAGGCATTAACAGGGGTTTGATTAGCTTGTATGTCCATTTCTTTCTTTCTTTTGATTTTTTTTTTAATTTAATACTTTTATGCTTTAGTGTTTCAGAAACGTGGGTACAATATATCTGTGTTATTGTAGTTCTACTTCAGTATTCTACTGTAAGATTAGACTTGTTGACTGGGATTGAGGGCTATCTTGACATACTGCTAAAAGTTCCAGGAATCTGCTCAGTTTGCAAAAATACTTAGATGATGTATCAATTCAAAGGATGCATAAATTGAAAGGTGAAAACATCTGTTAGTTCAGCAGTATGAAAATCTTCCGTTGATTTGTTTTTGTCCTCCTTAGGTAGTGTCAGTAAGAAAAAACACTGGAAAAAAGATCTGCCAAAAAAAATTGTCTGGGCAGGAATTTTACTGCTAGACAACTGTGTAAATACTTGCATGGGACTCTTTCTGAAATTACCTTCAGTGCAAATCCTGTGTTCATTCTTCTTATACTTAGCATAACCCAATTAAGTCTGAAGAGTATCGTTAGGATATTAGCAAAAGTATAGATACTTTGATTGGTTCCCTTTTTGGCAGTTATGCAAAAGGTATTGCACTACTACCAATAATAACCTGATCTCGGAGCAGCAAATGGTTTTAGGAACAAATGATGAAAGTCAGATGTTTGCTTGCTTGATGATGATAACACAAAGTTTCTAGAAATGTTGCTTTCTTAGCATGTGGTTAACATTTATGACTGTTCAGACATGTGTCACTTCTTTATTTCTGCAGTCTTAATTGAGAGGAGGGTAGAAACAGTTCTCTAGAGGCTTTTTTTTTCCCCCTAAATACCACACTTCTGATTTAAATACTATGATTTGTACTTCATGTATGTCTGAAATAGCCATTAAATCTGCTGTATTAATATCAGGACTTGAACATAGAAGCATCTCAAGTATGCTCAATATTCCTAGTGCTGTAGTGCACTCTTAATTTTATAAGAATTCTTGGTAAGTTTATCACTGTGCCCATTTCAAGCTAAAATACATTTAATTTTTATTAAACCATTAACATAACATGACAAAATTTATTACCTTTTAATTATATGCTTACTTTTAGGATTTGTTTCTGTAATAGATATGAAAGAGCACATATTTATATTAAAAAATGAGTCTTTTTAACAGTCCTTTTGTTTGTTTTTTTCATCTTGCATTTCTTCGTGATCACTGTTTTTCATGATCTTGCTGTGATTTGTTTCTGTAGGATGTTGGGCAGCATGGCATCTATTATTCCAGAAAGGAAGAATGCACATCACAGTATTCGTCAGAGTTTGGATTCCCATGATAATGTGGAAGTTGAAGCTGCTATATTTGCTGCTGCCAATTTTTCTGCACAATCAAAGTAAGATGTAATTTTTTTTGGCTTTTTCTATTACAGAGAATGGAAACTTGATTGACACTGACATTCACAAAGCTTAGTATTTTCTTCTGTAGTGTTAGCTGTGTCATTTATAGCAAAACATTTAACTATGTGCAATAATAGCATTGTAAAATCTGAATGCAAGTTTAACAGAAATCTTTTTCTTTTGTTTTCTAAAATATTAATGGAAAGCTCATAAAGATGGGAATGTAAAGTGAAATAGCAGCTTTAGACAAGGATTATTTTACAGAAGTTATATTAGGCAACTAAATGTAGTGCTGCTTGTCACTTTGACACATTTTTGAAAGATGCCATTTTATCATTTGATCATGTCCATGTGCAGGGGTTCTAAAATTACTTAAGTCTTGTCAGCCACCCTTTCGTAAAGGTTTTTATTTTTACGATGCAATGTTCGGTAGTTCTGTTGATTTTTACTTCTAATTATTTCTTTATTCTGTATTTCACTTGGTACTTCCTTATCTCTACAGGGATTTTGCTGCAGGAATATGTAATAAGATCAGTGAGATGATTCAAGGTACATATGCATATTGAATGATAAAGGGAAAAGCTCTTAATTTCTTTGATAATTCTTTGTTATCCATATGTAAATACTGGATATTGGAATGCTGTTGCTCTTATTCTCAAATGATTCAATTTTTAAAATTAAATTAGCTAACCAATCATCCAATGTCTGGCTCATGTGTCCACTTAACATCTAAGTTCTCAAAACACCCATTTGGTAAAAAATAAAATATCATCTATAGGACAGTGAGTAAACTTACTTGGACTGTGGCAGGTTGCCTCAGATGAGTGAATATGCTACCTGCAATGAAGCAAGGATGCAGCTTTCTCAAAGAACTGTGAAAGTGCTTGATACTGCTGTGGGTATGCTGCTAGCTTGTAGATGAGTTACTGGAAGCTAATGCAAGTGTCTGTGCAATCTGCATCCAGCAGTGCAGACATAAGGCATGCCTCAGGACTGCCAAAAGCTGGTACAAAGGACTGACACTCTGCCTCTGTCTCTCTTCCTTGTTGCAGGTTTAGCCACACCTGTGGACTTGAAGTTGAAGTTAATCCCTATTCTACAGCACATGCATCACGATGCGAGCCTGGCCTCCAGCTCCCGGCAGCTGCTTCAGCAGTTGGTGACATCGTATCCCTCTACCAAGATGGTCATTGTTACTCTGCACACCTTTACTCTGCTGGCTGCTTCTTCTTTGGTTGACATTCCTAAACAGGTAGTTCTTCCTAATTAATTCCTTCCATTTAAAGTACAAAGTACTTTAAAAAAGGCGCTCACTGACTTTTTCTGAAAAGATTTCATCTTGCCTGTAGAATCTAGGCTTCACTTTTCACTGCTGTTTATTCTATTGGGTCGTGAGTGTGTCTTTTGCCTTCCTTGCATGCAAGCAAATGAATATTTTAATAGCGTAGAGTGCATTTAAAAAAACATTTTTTGAAGATCTGAGGAATTTGAATGTGTTGCTGTAATGTAGAACTATAAACCAAGTTGTGGGAAAGCAATGATAGAAAACTACAATGCTTTTATGTTCTGATAACGTGCTTTGTGGATATGATTTATGTAGCTGGTCTGAACACAGTGACATTTGAGATTCATCTAACTAATCCTTGTAAAGTAGTCATGAAAATCTATTTGCTTTCTTTCAGTCCTGTACAGCTATGGAAGGCTGGTGTCTGTTACTGTTAGACTAATAGCATTGATCTGTCTGAAACTTCTTTTTGGCACGGCTGATTTCTGTATTTCAGAGGGTGCTTTTGATAGTACAAAATCAAAGCTAACCACAACAACATTAGAACATTTGTGCTTTGTCTTTTTATGGCAGTAAGCATGGTGCTTTAGGCTGTATTTCTGCAACACAACAGCCAATGTTGCTTAAAAGTGATGTAGCCAGAGTGGAGATGGAGAGCAGAACCATGATCCATGTGTTCATACTCTTTCATATGCTGGTTATTCAATCTCTGTAGATTTGCAGGAAATGAATACAACAAAGGACATGCAGTTAAGTGTCACTTAGACATAAATGCTTTGGAGGGGGTGGCATGGAGTTGGTTTTGTTTTGATTTTTTGGGGGTTGTTTTTGCCAGCTACTGAGGCATACAAGGTGTGTATGTGTTGCTATCTGTTAACTGCAGATCATGCAGACAACAGAATTAGCATAAGGCAAATTAGTTTTGGCCAAATATGCTCCATATGTCTTCTAAGTACTTTTGAAAACACTTTCCTCTAGTATAATCTCAAATTGTGGATTTACTCTGTTGCAGATCCAGCTTTTGTTGCAGTACTTGAAGAATGACCCCAGGAAGGCTGTGAAGAGGCTTGCAATCCAAGACTTAAAGTTGTTGGCCAACAAGACACCGCATACATGGAGCAGAGAAAATATTCAGGTTTATACATTTTTAAGCTAAAGTTTATTATGTAACTTAGCAATTAGTTGTGGAATTCTTTCCAGAAAAACAAATTGGGAGGTGAAAAAAGGAAGAAAATACATCCATATGTTTAAGTTAGGTTACTCTACCAAGCAGAGTAGTCAAGTATTAATCAACAGTCAAAGTATTGTAGCTGAGGAAAGACATGTGTGTTTTAGTAGGCCTTCTAGGCTTGAAAAACTCATTAAAAAATGGATATGAGAGCTGAATGTTTACATTAATCTTATGATAAATGAGAGTATTAATACAGGCTCAGTAACAGAGTCTTTCTGGCATTTATCAAAGTATATCATCCATCAAGATATACTTGAAAGTACATATGTAATTTTTACTTCATTTCTTAGGATTAGTGGTTCATTTTCAATAGTATCCTTGTGACTCCTGGTATATGAATGAGACCCTAGGTGTTTATACTGCATCTGTGTTATTTGGGGAAACAGTTGCTATATTGTAGATAATATTGCTGCTTTCTTCCAATTGCAGTTGCATATGCACATTTTTCTCCTTGTCTTTCCCTTTTTCTGGTAGAAATGACTACAGAAAATAACTTCAGGTTGGACTAAGAAAGCAAATATTCCAAGAACTTTGACATAGGCTTATAGCTCTACTTTTCTGGGTCTTTTATTAATCTTTAAATTTAAATACTCTTGGAAGCTTCTTTTGCTGTATGCTATTGGAGCATAAGGAAGCTGGGAGGAAAAACTAGGGATTTTTGTTAAAAATCATGTGACAAATAAAGCATGTTTTGCTTTGTCTCCCAGTTCTCAGATAAAATTATTTGGAGTGTGCAGAGGTTTTTATTTTAGTGACCTGCCTTATTCTTCATAGTGGATTAATACCGAAACTTACTTCCTTTTAGGAATTTTAAGGAATTCCTTCAATGGCTTATGGATTCTTTGCAGTCAAATTTCTACTTTATACCAATACGCCTGGTTGGTAGTTGTATCAGTACAAGCAAGAGACATTGGTAACATGGCTTTCATTGTTATGTAGTGTCTCAAAGTAGGTGTCCTGATGGCTGAAATGCATAGGAAAAAGTTCCAATCATGTCAGAACTAAACCAGTGATTGGGTTAGAAAAAAATTGTCTAAATCTTGTTACTGCTTGCTGGATGGCATGCAGAAGTAAGGAGATTTTTTTCTGACTTCTGAATTAGTTAACATTTTGAGCTGGGCAACTCTTCTCCATATATTTAGACAGCTTGATAATGTTTAGACAACACAGACTGGAACAGATCACCCTTTTCTCATGGCAAAACCTGAGGCTTCTACTTTTTTACCAACAAGAATTTCAGTGGTGTTAACTGCTTCAGCATTTTGGGTCTGTCTGTGAGGGCAGATAGGAGGCTTGGTCTTTGAATTGTGAAGATTTCACTGATTTCTAAACATCAGCTTTAGAAGCTGTTGCTGCTGATGCTTAGAGCAGTCCTGCTGACTGGGAAGGTAACAGGCAGACTATAGTCCATCCTGGTAATTCTTTTGTGCTCCTGGCATTCTTCATAGTTACTGTTTCAAATGTGCTCTGTGAATGGTGATTTAATAGCACTGGAGTAAAACATCAGTGTCTTGGGAGGCATCAAGACTCATTTTCAACCCTAATAATTGTATCTGGTTTTTCCTGTTGATGCCACGCTACTCAGTGAATTAGCAAAATACTACATTGGTACAGATTACAAATTTATTTAGAATGTAACCCTTATACCTTATAAGAACGCATGCATGCTTGGTAAGAACACTAATTGGGTTTTTTATTTGTTCTGTGTAACTAATTCTGTGTTGGTTTTTATTCAGTTACTGGATGTTATAATTCAGTTCTGGCACTCTCTCTAAGGCAGAATATACTTACATTTTCCACTTGTTTTATATTTGACTTTCTCTCACATTGACTAAAAAAGCCTCCTAAACCAGTGAATGACTAAATTGTGAACAATGTTGGCATAATGAATCTGAGAACAATGTGAATTTTAAGAGTTATTCCAAACTAAATGTTTGTAAACTAAATAGGCTTGAGGAGATCTGGTAAAAGGCACAGAAGTATGACAAGAGCTCTAATATAAATGAGTTAAAAATAAAACATGCTTTAAGAGCTTATCAAGAAACCTAAACTGTATTCTGTTGGACACCAGGACTGTTAAAAGAAGTGACACTTGAAACTTTGCTCTTCAGAGATGTATACTTATATAAAATCCTAAAGATTGTTATAAGGCAAAATAATTGGTATACCTCTCACTGGAGAACTGTCCTAAAATCTTTTAAAATATTTGATTAATGAGACCTCATAATATTTTTGCCACTGACTTGTAATTAATAAATTATTTCTAATTGGTGCTTCTTAGCATATGAGACCCACTGTCACTTTTCTGAAAAGCCATGTCTTTAGTCTACTAAACCAAATGCTTTGGGACATGACTACTAACTTTTGATTTTAAAATACTATTTTAAAATACTATTTTTTGTTTAAAATAATCTTGATTCTTAAAACTTTTCACCGATAAGTGTAACCAAACATTTGATACAGATAGCTCATGAGACTTCCTTCCTTCTATATATTTTCTTCTGCTAATCTTTAGGCACTCTGTGAATCTGCTCTTCACACTCCTTACGACAGCTTGAAACTGGGCATGCTATCTGTTCTTTCTGTGTTATCAGGGACCATTGCCATTAAACAGTACTTCAGCACTGCTCCAGGTAAGAAAACTACATTAGGTAGTCAACACAGAAATGCTGAAGAATACTATCTACTAATAATCATTTTAATCTAAACACTTTTTGTAGCATATTCTTAAACTATTTTTATTTAACTTCAGAACACAAGCTGAGAATCAGACTGTGTTCTTAGTATGTGAACTTAAAATGGGATACTGTATACCTATGAATAGTTGTGGTCTAAGATTTTGTTCTGGATTTTGTGGGTAATATGCTATATGAAAAGATACTTTTTTTTTTTATCTGTGGGTCTTCAGCTTTTCATAAAATGAAGAAATGTAATATCTCTCAAATGGCTGATCTGCATTCTGCTTAAGGGGCTTTGAAACCATGGATTTGGTTAGCTTTTGAGTAGTATGGAAACTTAATGGTGTGAGAGTGGGATAATGTTTTAGCCTCCCACTCTTATGGGAATGACCTGCTTCAGTACCATGGGAACCTTTCTGCCTTGTGACTATATTCTGGAGAAGTAAACATTTTAAAGTAATTCATGGTATCTTGTTCTTAAAATGGTGATCATACTGTTTTCTTTTTTCTTCGTGAAAGCTGGACTGCCCTAATGAGTCTTTTGAGCCTAACTACATGGGCTGGAGACATGGAGTAAAATAGTACATCCTCTTCAGTCATTCTGGCATGTCTTGATAATTAATATGCTCACCAGCTTTTAGAATCAGATATAGTATTTCTTAAGGCAATATTTATATTGATTCCCTGAAACATCAGCCTTCAGACCCAAATATTTTTTCTCATGTGTGCCTAGCTTGTATATTGTTCAGGAATACAGGGAGAGCCTCTGTGTGTGGAAAGAGAAAGATGTGTCTTCATCCTATCCTTTTAAACATAGGAAATAATAAACTGAACACTATAGGTTTTGTGTTGTTTATGGGTTTTTTTTTGTATTTGTTTGGGTTTTTTCTCCAGAAATGCACTTGAAAAGATCTGTGGTGTAATTATGGACTATACTGTTTCATGTTCTGTTTGCCTTCTTTAGGAACAGCAGCTACAACTGTGAGATCATTTGATTTAGTAAAGCTAGCACAGGAGTGCTGTTACCATAATAACCGTGGCATTGCAGCTCATAGTGTGAAAATTCTGACTAACATATCAGCCTCTTGTCAGGAAAAAGGTAAATGAAAGCAAGGACAATGAAATGCGTCTGTTTAGTCAGGCTTATGCACTTAACATGTATTAACTGGTTTTGTCTGTAAATCTGTTTGATCCCTCATGCTGGTTAGAAATAATGGGGAGTATAATATAGTAGAAAATATTCTGTGTGATTTTGAGTGGTTGGAAAGATTCCAACTAAGATTCATCTTATTTAGAGAATGTTACTGGGCACAGTAAAACTTGTGCTAAGTAAATACTTCTTGCACTTTTGCTGTAAGACTAGTGAAGTGTTTGTCAACCCTTGAAAACCCTTTGCACAAAGTCTGTTGCAAAAGAATAATAGGGCATTTAGAAGTCTTAGTCCAGAGATTTATGCACACCCTACAAATGTAACAGTTGATGTGACAGCTGAATAATTACCTGAGATGTGGAATGGCAGAATTGTTTCTAATCAAAATAAGGTAATGCAGAAGTATTAGGAAGATACTTAACTATCATAACTGCAACATCAGTGCAAGCATTATACCAATTACGGTTAGAAAATGTAACAGGGAACTAACTTACTCTGCTTTTCTTTTCTTAGATCTTCTACCTTTGGAGCAAGATGCAGTTTTTGGCTCAGAATCTCTTCTTATTCTTTGTAGTCAAGATGACAGTCCAGGAGCTCAGGCAACCTTAAAGGTGACATTACTGTTGTCTTCCCTTAGCACAGCTGTAAGTTTTAGTAATAGCTTGTATAGCAGAAAGGCTAGGGTGTACCACATCCTTTCTGGTGGAAGTGTAACCTACTGGAAGAAAACAAAGATTTTTCTATGTTTTGCCCATAGTCAAGAGTTCAGAGCGGTATTGAAACTGAGCACAGCTATACTGCAGCTCCTCTCAGCTCTACAGTAAGTTGATTGTTGCAGAGGCAAAAAAAATGCCTTCCTCTCAAAGGAACAGCTGTAATAAAAAATGAATGTAAACATGGGATGGAGGTATCTCTGGAGGACAAAGAACTTTGGAGAGAACCTGCTTTTTGGAGTTGAGGATGCAATGTACATGGTTACAACACTTTTATAAACTGTTATTTTTATTTTTCTACATCATAAGCTGCTACCAGTAATTTCATCTAGTTATTTACCTGTAAAGCCTGATTTATGATAAGTTTTTGTGCTGTGAGCTCAGGAACAGAGGCTTGGGCTCTTAAAAAGAAAAAATCACATCCTTTGTGTAGTACATAGTTCTGAAAATACCAGACCTTCTCTATTTCTGCAATCATACTTGCAGATAAGTGTGTCTGGCTGTTTTATTTTCAAGTAGAATTATATTTGTTTTAACTGTTGATTGTGTGAATTGCAGATCACATTAACTTGTATGGTGAAGCTCGTCAAGTGCCGTCCTCACCTGAGCCAGTCAGTAGTTGAATCCCTGCTGACGCAGTTGCACAGTGCCCAGGATGCTGCTAGGATTCTGATGTGCCACTGTTTAGCAGCTATTGCCATGCAGTTGCCTGTCTTAGCAGATGGGATGCTAGGAGACCTAATGGACCTCTATAAATTAATTGGACGATCTGCCACAGATAAAAAACAGGAACTCTTGGTAAGGCTTCCTTCTGGTGAATAGCCCTTGATGGATAAAGTCCATATAATCTACTGTGAATTAATTTTATTTAAAAAGGCAGTTAAGACATTTGTTTTATGTCCACTTTCATCTAACAGTCTATAGCCACTGTTTTCAGTTTTGCTTTAACTTTTGACTACATATGTCAGTGCTTAATGTCAGAGTATCTCATACATGAAGCTGAACTATGCAGTGTATTCCATTAGATTTTCCAGCAGATGGCACTGCTTAGACAAACCTAGTTATTGAAATTATTGGGGTGTCTGTGAAATAATGGTTATAGAAAAACAAAATGGCAGTTAGCTCAATTTATGTATGGTACTCTGACACACGTGACTTTTAATATACTGTAAGAGAGAAAGTTGCTTTTATCACATCTATTTGGGAATGAATTGAATTTTATGTAAGAAATTACAAGCTTCCTGTTAATTCATTTGAAGCATTCAAAGTATCTCAGTTAAAAGCCACAGTAAAGATTCTTTAAATGAAAGTGACTTCATCCACAAGAAATACTTGTGTTTCCTTAATTACTTAAAAGATATATGAATGAGAAGTTCCTCAGTTAAAATGTATAATCGTCTATGTAGTTTTGAGTCCAAAATCAAGCAGATAATTTTTGGTACTTCAGGAAACAGAATTGATTTTTTTCTTCTTGCTTTATTTAGTTCCTGAAATATAACCTTCTTTCTCACTCTTCACTCTTTGTAAGGTTTCTCTTGCCACAGTGATATTTGTTTCCAGTCAGAAAGCTTTATCTTCAGAAATCAAAACTGTTATCAAACAGCAGCTTGAGAATGCCTCCAATGGATGGACAGCCTACAGGATAGCCAGGCAGGCTTCCAGAATGGTAAGTGAAAATACGTGGAGGAAAATGGTTTGGTGTGGTTGGAAGCATGCTAGTGATTTTTTTTGAACTGGGAAAAAGTAAGGAAAATGGTAGGACTTGAGTGGAGGAAATGAATGGGAAGCAAAAAAAAAAAAAAAAAAAGAAATAATTTTCCTTCTTAATTCCCTGGAATGCTGATTCAGATATATGCCATTTAGGGCAGTGCTCCCATCAGGATGGTTTTTCACTTGAGAAGGAAGTAATAACCTGATGCTTTCTTGAGCACGTGCTTGATCTGCATTGTCTAGCTCTTCTTTAGAAGGTGATATAGGTCGTCCTGATGTGTACTTCTCTTTCTTCAATGTGAAGAAAGGAAGAAAAAGACTGTTTCCCTTTTCCCTTCAGTAAAGTCACAGCTGAGGTTAGAATTATGTAGAAAGCCTAACACAAGATGCTGGCGTAAAATTAAATCATGTTATTTGTTTCTCATCTTGTTGAATTATCTTGTATAAATACGTACTGTACGCTATACAGGCTAATATTGCCATAAAATAAGAACTTGTACTTTTATTTATTGTTAGGATTATAATAATTAAATTCTTTGAAGAAGTTTCACTATTCCTATTTTTAAAGTTAGAGAGTAGTTCTGGAGATGTTAGTGTTCACTTATTTGTTTTGTAGAAACCCACAGACTTCTTTCGTGTCCCCTCTTAGAAACTTCCTTGTCGTTACAGGGCAACCATGACATGGCCAGAGAGCTGTATCAAAGCCTGCTGACTCAGGTGGCCTCAGAGCACTTCTACTTCTGGCTGAACAGCTTGAAGGAGTTCTCCCATGCAGAGCAGTGTCTGACAGGTTTGCAGGAGGACAACTACAGCTCAGCGCTTTCTTGCATTGCTGAAGCTTTAAAATCCTACCACAAAGGAATAGCGTCACTGACGGTTAGCGCAGATCTTCTACTTTAGTGATGATGTTTCTGTGTACTGCAGCAGGTCTGCTTGCTTTCTGTTCTTAAACATCTGAAAAGTTTTTGAAGATGTCTGACATCTGCCAGAGTTTCTTTGTGAGAGGACTGCAGGGAAGAGCCAGTTGTAACATTGCATCTTCAGAGAGAAGATTCTGTAGCTCAGCTAAGTGTGATTAGCTAGGTTTCTCTTTTTTCTTTTCCCCCCCCTGCCACTTTCTGCCTTGATCAAACCATATGATATGCAACAGATCTTTTTTTAAGATTACAGTACTTTAAATTTTCTACTCTTGGCTGAATAAACACTAGTGTAGTAGTCAAGCCTGGGAATGTATCTAAATTGGCTGCTATCATCTTGAGATATGGAGAAGGATTTCATTGTCTTCCTCCCTCCTGCATAGTTCATGTTGCCTTGTATTTGACAATGTTTTCCTCTGGATTTCAAACAAGGCAACACCAACTTCATAAGAGAAGGGAGGACCATTGAAACTTATCAGATCACCAGAATTCAGACGGTACCTGCTTTTATGCAGATACATTCTGCTTCTTTGAAGTGGTGAGAATGGCAAGAAGCTGCGTGTGATGTCTGTGAATGTAAACAAAAAAAGCATTAATGAACCTTCAGTTCTTACTGTGAAGTTGCTGCTAGCGAAAGACAATCCAGCTTCACACAATACTTTCTTTCATATCTTAGCTTCCCTGAAGAAGTCTTTACATACAGTTTTCTATGTCTTTTGAATGAAGCTGCTGCTTTTTTTTTTTTCCCCAATTACTGGGACTGTGCTGTGATAATTCGCGTAAATAAACTGTGCCTGAATAGGTAGGAAGGACTCTTACACCTTTGTCCTCTAAGAGAAATCTCCATTGTTCCCAAAGTATTTGTCTTTAACTTTTTTGGCTGAGTAAATAAGGCTTTTAATTTTACATTTCAAGATTTCTCTAACATCTAGAAGATGTTTGGGGGGGGGACCCTCATCTAATCAGATGTTAATATTTAATACTGGCAGGAATATAATGTACTTGAATAGGTCGTTCTGTGATTCAGTAATTTAATTAGCCTTTCCTTAGAGTTTGTGTTTCTCAGTGGAGGGATTCCTGTACTCATCTCCTCTGCTGACTTCACTTCCTGCATGTTGCACATAGGTATTTGTCATTTAGACAGTTGTTCTGTCACCTGATGACTCCTCCCCACCAAGGGAACGGAATCAGGAATAGGAAGAGAGACCTGTGGGTTGAAATAGAAACAGATTTTATTAAACAATAAGAAAAACCACTATTAATAACAGTATTAATATAAAGTACGCAGAGTTATACTCAGCTGATACAGTGGGGAAGTAGACATCAGGAGTAGAATGGCACATGAGCCCCTCTTGGGATGTCAGCTGTTGAAGGAGGAGAGGTGTCCCTGGCAAACGCCCCAGCTGATCGTGAGAATGATGTTAAGGGTACAGAATAATTTTTATTGGTCAGCTTGGCTCAACTGCCCTGAGTTTCTGTTCCTCCCAGCTTCTACACCTGTTTATCTCAAGACTGCTGAAGACCTTGATCATCACATACCAGTGCTGGCCAAAAACTAATATGAAATGTCTTATCAGCTTGTTCCCACTGAAAACGAGTGTGGAAGTCTTGTTAGCAATGCAGTTTTCCTGAATAGAAAACTAATTCTAAGATTATATCCCAGGACACTATTGCACCCATAAAAGCACTTCCTTGTGGGTTATTTTGGTCCAGAGGAGTAAGTGAATTTGGAGCTAGAGAAGAGGAAACTGGGGTTTTTTTACTGACTGTTGCTGACTTGTTGCATTGCTCTGGACAAATTGCTAACCATGCTTGAGTGTATCAGCTGTAAAAGGAGCCACTCGCTGCTTGCAACTACATCAAAGGGGAGCGAAGTGCCATAAAGTGCATGATAGTTTTACTGCTGAAGACTTCCACTGTCTCTTCCCTCTGACTTCAGCTTTACTGTTGCTGCTGTTTCAGCACAGAGTATGACTCAACACTGTTGGTACCACAGACCATTAGTGCATATGATGAACCCTGTGTAGCTGTCCACTTTGTAGCTGGAAGACACTGTGCCAGTAAATTTGTTGCAGATGTTCAGTCAGTCCATCTTGGCTATGATGAAATATTCAGTGTCTGATCTTGTCAGAAAATTTCTCAATACCTTTTTGATACACACGCAGCTGTCTGTCTCATGTTTTGCTGTACGCAAAATGCTCTCTCATGTGAGTTAGTCCACTTGAGGAGAAAAGTCCCATTACTTTATGGGTGAGAGATGCTGGGGAGAGTGCGGGGCTTGTTGCAGAGCGCATCAGCCACGGTCTCCATTTTTCTCACTGTGTACTTACTTGTATAGTTACCAAAAGTTTTGAATAGGACCTTCTCTTTCTGACACAGAGCATGCATCTCATTGGAAGCATTGTTCTTATTTTTCACTGCTGGTAGTCTAGAGAAGATGCAGAACTTGAACAAAGCACTAATATAACCATTGGTTAAGTAGTACTAACTCAAAATGTTGATAAGAAGTGGTGTTTTTTTAATAACTTGGCTGAGCCAAAAAACTTTGTCATTTTCAAAAAAGAATTGTAGCTTTTTTATTGCCCATGGTTATATGGGTAACAGATAAGGTAAATTGCAGTATTAATGAGACAAGCTTGTATTTCCATTTACAAGAATCAAATACAACTTGTGTTACTAAAAAGTATCTTTTTTTCTGTTATAAGTACTGGTACTTTACTCTATAAAAGCATGTAGTCTCTATGGAGTAATTACAGTGCAGTGAGATCTCTTCCACAGTTTCTGAAACCACCTTTGCAGAATAAACTGAACAATTTCTATTCAAAGGGGATTTTTTTTTATGCCCTTGGAGAAGAGAAAGCAAAGTGGTAGATAAGAGGGGTTGAATAGCTCAAGTGATGAAATAGTAATATTTCTTTGGTTAACATCTAGCTCAGTAGTTTTGAGTGGCTGCAGCTGGCTGATGTTTCCTCACTTTGGTAAATAGTGGGGCAGATATCAAATGATGTGATGTTTTGTGAGAAACTAGTTTGCTGTTTTCTTGCTGGCAAATAAATATTTCTTAGTAAGGTTTTGGGATGGGTCATAACATCTTGCTTCCAGAAGAGACCTTTTCTGTTGAGGAATAAGAAGCACTGGGGAAGACATGCATGAGTTTAACATACATCTCTTTTCTGAGTAAGAGAAAGTCCCGGTGCTTTGTTTCACAGATGAGGTCTTTCCCCCTAAAGAACTGTACTCTTCTCAAAAAAAAAAAAATCCAACAGTGTAAGAAAAATAAGTAGTGGATTTTTGTCTTAACCAGTATCAGATCTGCAGCTCACACCCTCCTGGATGTCCTAAGCTGTCACAGATGCTTTTACAAGTCAATTAAGCTCATAGGATGCGAAGTTTCACAAAGCATATTTTCTAAATACTAGCATCATGTCTACCCTCCTGGAGTTCTGTTATTTACTGTTCTTGATTGTCACTGAACTGTCTCTACCTTCATCAACTGCAGGGTTCAGTGCCTTTGTAATGTTCCTGGCCATTTCACAGTTCTAAATAAAAAAAAAATCAAAGGCTATTATCTCTTGCTGCAGGTAACTTTAACTGATTCTTTCTCTGTTGGCTGATGCAGAGAATCACTTTTTCAGTACTTTGTGTTTCTGTTTGCCCTTCAATTCAGTGTGCTGGTTCTTATGGTGAGGACGTTCTGGACTAATGTCATTTGGAGCCTAATGGCTTGGCCTTGGAAAAAGAGGAAATGGGTCTCCTAATAGCATTGTAACAGCTTAAGTCACATTTGTTACAAGGGTGATACACTTGAAATATGGCTTAGTAATTACCAGATTTCTGTGTCGTTTATATTCAGTATGATTTAAATTGAGCAAATCTGTGAAGTAGTTTTTAAAAAGCAGCTTTTAGAATTGAACTGAAGGGTTCAGTTGTCTGATGAGACAGTTCAGTGACATTGCAAAGTTATTTTATCATGTTTGCTTTTGACCTAGATTGCCGACATTCCTATTACTGTGTTTCAGGCTGCTAGCACTCCACTTAATCCTCTGAGCTTTCAGTGTGGATTTGTGAAACTCAGAATTGACCTTCTGCAAGCTTTTTCTCAACTTATTTGTACCTGCAACAGCCTAAAAACAAGTCCACCACCAGCTATTGCCACAACAATTGCTATGACATCAGGAAACGATCTCCAAAGGTGTGGGCGCATCTCTAACCAGGCACGTGTTCTTTTTCTGCTCTCGTGGGGTTACTTTTATGATTCTGGTATGAATTTTGCTCCTCAGCAAACATATCCGATGAAAGAAATTAAAAGTGATAGTGAAAAATTTTTTGCTAAATAGTGGGCCTTGGTTTTCACCTGTGGCTATAAACATGTCTGTAGCAGGCCATGTTTTGAAGTCAAGCATGTAGGTATGTATGCTTTCTCATACATTCACATGAATGGCTTCTGAGGATGTGCATGTAGTAAGCCACTCAGTATGCTCACATTTGCAGCAAGACCTTTCATACCGCGTTTGAAACACCTCAGACATTGTGATTACACTAAGGAAGAATGCGAACGTTAGGGTCACACTACAACTCCTTTTGGAGAGTGGTGGCAACTGACTTCATACCGTACAGAACACCAAGTCAGTCTGCTTCTAAAATGTATGTAGTCTGCAAGAAGAAATCATTGGGTAGTCTTTGAAAGACAGGAGTTTGATTTTCCAGTAGGGGATGAGGGAGATTGTTGTTTAGGCTTTTTTTGTTTAACCCAAGGAGGGTATGTTGGTGCTGTATTACAGGAGAAATATCTGTTTAAGGTGTGGATGATAGTCTGTTACTTTGATTATTATTTTTTTTAACGTGTGAAGAAGCAAGAACTTCATATATTTTGCCAGAGTATGTTGTCTTATTCCTTCAGTGTTGTATGTTATAGTGTAGTGGTTTTCTGGATGTTTGGGGTTTTGTTTGTTTTGCTTTGCTTTATTTTTTTTTTTCTTGACTAGTAACATTGTCTCTGTAGATGAAACACTCAATGGAGGAATTCCGAAACCTGGCTACACGGTATGGAGATCTGTATCAGTCATCTTTTGATGCAGACTCAGCAACTCTAAGGAATGTAGAACTGTATCCTTTTAAAATCTTAAGTTAGTAACTTAAAAATTATGTACCAATTGCTTAAAACCTACTTGGAAATAAACATTACTATACTATCGTTTGGAATTACTTTATGAACAAGTAACGACACAAATTGTAACAGCATAAAACTTGGGATTTTCGCAGTTCTTGCTCTGTTTACTAAAGGAGTAATGACTGTAGAATTACTTCACAAAAGTAAGAGAAACGTGGAAAAATGCCAGTAAATATACTCCATGTCTTGTTTTAGGTGTCAACTTTGTAAGTCTTTTAACTCCTTAGTATTAATATCAGACAACAGCAGAGCTGCCTGTTGATTTCCCATTCAATAGAAGCTCTGATTTTGGATCCAGAATCTGCAAGGTAGGTTTGATAGTCAACTCTCTACTCCTTTGCTATCTGCTTCTAAATCCTTGGGGCTTTAAGCCTAGGAATTCAAAGAATGTTCAGAAGGTTTCTCAGTAGACCTTTCTGGTTCTGCTCTGAGCATGCTCGAAGACCTGTTGCTGCTGTGCTGTACCTAGCAGACTAGAGACTGTGTTTCAGGTTCTGCATTTTATACTGATTTTCCTCTTGAGAGCAGTGCACTGGAATTGTCTTCATTATAGACTTGCATTAACACAAAATGAACTTTTAATCTCTTCTTTAGCCACCTATTTTAACTTGTCATTCTGTTAGCTCCTATACCTACTGTTTGCACTTATCAGCGCACATTAGCTTCCTTCAGAGTGCTGAAAATAGACACATTAAATTAGTTTGAACTTCTAATGTAGATCTGTCACCACTGGCTTTTTTTAACAGAGAACTTATACCCACTAGAAAATCGTGTTGAAGTTCCTATGAATTGAATCACTCTTAAACTCCTAGACTGAGATTAAATGAAAGATAATGTGGATAAACATCTTTCAACAGTTGGTTTTTATAAATGTGAACATTCTAAGCGGCTGTCCTCATTATGAATTAAGTATTCCATAGAAGATGTATTAATCATACTTGTAAAAAGTATGAAGCTGTGGACTTCAAAACGATAGGTGTCTAGGAGACAGAGTTGCATTCAAAGCATGATATTATAAAATTCCAGATTTAACTCTGACTGGCATTCATGCTTTTCCTTGAGTTATGAGACTTTAAAAGACATAAACACTGCAATCTTAAATAAAAGCCAGGGGAATTAAACACTACAGGCTTAAATTAAAGCTAAGAGAATTAAGCATGCTGAGTCTGTTAGACCTGTAACTGCTTCAAGTGAGAGAGGGGGACAAAGTATAAGCTGTAGTTAAGAAAGGGTTTAAATATAAAGAACAAATCTTATAGTGGAAAAAGAATAAAGAAACAGAGTAAACAGTTATTAATGGATTTTGAATTTTTAGAGGATGGTCATTGGGCCTGTTTGGGAATGAGCCTCCCAGATTACGATGAGGAAAGTGTGTTAGACACAATGAAAGGTTTTATTTTTCTTTTTGTTAGTTTCCAGGAATATAGCTCAAATGGAACAGCACATGTTGAAAGTGAATATGAAAGAAGAATGATGTCTGTATTTAATCATGTACTGGAAGAAGTGGAATCCCTCAACAGGAAGTATGCTCCTGTGTCTTACTTGGCAAGTAACCGTTTTTAAACGTATATTCTGTAGACAAAGGTTCCATGAACTTGGCGGCAACTCATATCTGTGGCGGTCAAGAAACTGAAGAGCACGCTTGGTTAATTAAAAACCTCTTACTGGCGCAAATGGTCTCTACGGGGACTCGCTAATTCAAAAATACCTTACTGGTCAGCTTAAAAATAGTGCTTTTAAAATTCTGATACTAAGAATATAGCAGATGCTGATAAGATACCTAAAAGTAGCATCAAGGCTCTGTCAGATCTCTTGCCACACTTGCATTCAAATACTGAAGCGCATTCTCTTTGTTCATGCTGTTGTCATGGAGAAATTCTTCCCCTGCCACGCTGGGTGCTGCAAGGTCCAGCGCTAGCCTGGCTTCAGTAGCTGAGCTCTTGGCAGAGCTGTGTTTTGCAAGTCTAGTGTTTCTCTTATCAGTGCAGGTCATCAGAGAACACAATGAAAAGTGTGCTGAATGCAAACAGTGAGCTGATAACATACTCTTTTTACAGGACTAGTATGGTTTCCTCTTTTATTGTTAGTGAACATCATAAAGCTGAAGTGGGTGTTGTTGCTTTGGTTTTAAATTTGACAGTGCTTACTGATTCCAAATAGAATATAAGAATGAGTTGTGTAAGACGTTACAAAGGTAAACCCTATAAATTTAGCTGTCACTGGCTCTCAGTGCAGCTCGGTGACTTCAGTGATGCTGCCTTTGCTCATTTGAGTCAAAGTGTGAAAGGAAGAGTAGACAAGAGGTTTAAAACTTAAATTATTGCACTACATTAAGTTTTGGTTAGATGCTGGTCCTGTTTGCTTGGAGAGGAATTGTTTATTTGACAGTTTGTGTGAGAGTTTTCTGTACGAGTGTTTCAAGCAGATCCTGCTCTGCTGGCTCTTAACCCTAGGAGTGAAATTATTTGGATTTTTCTTTTTTATGGCCTCCTTGTTCTTGCCAGAGTAGAATACCTCCTTCATAAAGGGCTGAACATAAACAGAGAGGCTAAATGTAGTTGCTGTTACCCTATGACTATGTCAATATATTTCTAGACTTATAGTGGATATTACTGCAGTTTCAGTACCTCAAGTGCATGTCTTTTTCCTATGCTATGAATGATTTTTTTTTTCTCTCTCAGTTGTTTTGACTCTGTTTCTTACAGCATACGGCTTGTCTGTGCAATGCTGTCATTGCATTGTTGAAGGTGCCCCTTTCATTTCAAAGGTACTTTTTTCAAAAGCTGCAGTCTACAAGTATTAAGGTAAGTACTATTCAAATGTGGCCTAAAATTTCTCTTTATAAAAAGTCTTTACTTCATGAGAAGAGCCTTACTGAAGGCACAAAGCTTCAGCATTTTTAGTGAAGATACTTAACTGCAAGTAGCATCTGGGTTCATCTGCTAGAAGTAACTTGAGTATAATGTACATATGATCATTAAGAACCACTAGGCTGTGACTTAGGCAAGTGAGACTCAGTTATTTGATTGCAAAGCCTTAATGATAAAATCTAACTGGAATTTTTGTTGACTGAGTCTGCAAGGCTAAATAATGTTCTAGTCCGTGGAATGCAACTTTTATAGATTTGTGTTGTTTTTCCTTTAAACAGCAACATTTACTATCTTGGAAAAAAAATTGTAGTATTTATCAACTGACTAAGAATGGGTATATGTGACCTTCAGTGGTCTTTTTTTTTTTCCCCTCATTTATTCTTATTGCATTTTACTGGTTTGTTCAGCTTAATATACTTACTTGTGGCTCTTTTGTAGAAGACTTCTTCTGCTTCTTTTGAAGAAGTCCAATTAATGAAACTGATTTAAAGACCACGGCTGGTATTGATGATGATGATGCTTATTAATTATCATAGTAATAAGTCTGTTTCTGTTTGCTCTTTTCCCTAGCAAACTCTTCTGTGAAAATTTTTCTGATTCATCCTTGAATTGTTTGTTTTTCTGGAGGCATAACATTACATTTTTGATGGTGTTCTTGTGTTTCAGCTGGCTCTGTCCCCATCTCCAAGGAATCCAGCAGAACCTATTGCAGTACAGAACAATCAGCAATTGGCTCTGAAGGTGGAAGGAGTGGTTCAGCATGGATCTAAACCAGGCCTTTTCCGTAAAATTCAGTCAGTCTGTCTAAATGTCTCTTCAGTGCTGCAGAGCAAATCTGGACAAGACTATAAGGTATGAGAGAGACTAGAGTCCTAAGCTTCCTTGCTGTGTTTTCCTGCTCTTCTGTTTGGCTCTAGTTAGCAGAATTTTCAGGTAGGAATGAATGGGTCCTTCTGTAATCCCTTCACTCTTGATAGTTGACATTCAAGCACTTGTGGGAGCCAGACACAGTGTGTGGAAGGGATCTGGGATTTTTAAGTCTGCTGTATGCTGACACCTTTTTAGTAACAGCTTTTCTTCCAAACAAAAGAGGTTTTGTGATGCTCAGAACAAGTCATTGGGAATCTGCTTGTGTCGTGGTTTAGGGCTGGGCCGGCCACTAAATCCTGGACAGACGCTCTCTGTTAACCCCTCTCCCCTCCCCAGAAGGGAAGAGAAAAGAGAATAAGGGAGAGAGACTTTACGGGTTGGAAAATAAACTAACAGATTTAATGAAACAATAATACTAATACTACAGAATAATATTGTAAATATGAAAATAATGAAGTATATACAAATAAGTACAAATATATATACAAAACCAATATAAAATCCTCCCCCCACCCTTCCCCCCCAATGACGAATATGTCATCAGAGGCTCTGCAGAGCCGGGCACTGGAAAAGTTCCAGACCAAACTCAGCAGCAGGTGGGAGCAGGATGCAGGACACACAAATCAGGATCAGCGGCAGACGAACGAGCAGGATTCTGCTCAGGCCTCGGCCTCTGCAGGATCGAGACGGACGGAAGGGTCGAGATGGAAGGAACGGTGGAAAACAAGGCAAAAGGGCGGAAAAAAGAAAATAAACAGCGGAGACCCTCGTGATCTCTCGGTTTTATACCGAGTATGACGTATGTGGGATGGAATACCTCGTTGGTCCGTTTTGGGTCTCCTTCTCCCCCCGTAGGCACAGACACAGCACCCAGGATGAGACAACTGACCTTGAGCATATCTTCTAGCAGCACTGTTTGGGAAAACATGCTGCCAGTTTTCAGCAAGTTCAGTCACTTAAAAGAGACTGAGCTGAAAAGTAAAATCACTAAATAGAAAATTAGTTCTATTTAGGTCAAACCAGGACAGCTTGAGATCAGGAAAACTCAACCTAGCTCTATATCCTATGAAACTCCGAAGGGAAAAAAGGCAGGAGTAGACTATTCTCTACCTCACAGCCTCTAGAACTTAAAAAACCCCCACACCCTTAAATGAGGATTGTATATGGAAATCAGGAGGACAGGCTGTCCAAACTAAACAGCACCTGAGGAGATGCGTATTAAATTCAAGTCAGCAGTTTTATCGAAGATTGCATGTCTGAAGTTCAAGTTCTGCTGGTGTGTGTTGTTTAGTGAAAGGCCTGTTTTGGTGGGTTTGGGGCTTTGTGTTTTTTTATTTAGATTGTTTTGAGAGGAGAAAGAAAATAATCGGTTGCTTCTAAAAGAGCAGGACTAGGAAGTGTGTAATGTTTGTCTGACTTGTTTTACTCTGGAAAAATGCAATTTCGGAGACACAAAGACTTGTTAGCTACCTTGCTTCTGCTAATAGATACAAAAATAACTCATTCATCGATGGAAAAAGCATGTCAGGCTGGCTTATACATGCACATGCATCAGTTTAGGAAAATTGAGGACAAAGGTTTTTTTCTTATTTTCTCTCCTTCAAACAGAGAGCAGAAAACTTATTTTAACAGGCTTATATAAAATAGCATTTTAACCTTCCATGTGTTCTCAGATTCCTATTGACAACATGACCAATGAAATGGAGCAGAGGGTGGAACCACACAACGACTACTTCAGCACTCAGTTTCTGTTAAACTTTGTGATACTTGGCACCCACAACATCACAGTAGAGTCCTCTGTAATAGATTCAAATGGTATTGTCTGGAAAACTGGGCCTAAAACAACTATTTTTGTTAAATCTCTGGAGGATCCGTACTCCCAGCAGGTTCGTCTTCAACAACAGCAAGGACAGCCTCCATCACAGCAGCAACAGCAAAGAACAGCGTACTCACGGTTTTAATTCCCAGAAGTTACTCTATCCCGGTCAATGGTATTACAGTTTTTCTTGGACACTCTTTTTTGAAAGACCTACAGTTTTAACCTTCTCTAAATTTGAACTTGATTCAGCAGAGGCAACTCTGTCAGTTTTGGAGTTGTGCTTTTAATATAACAACTTCTACCTGATCGCTTCACTTCTATTTACAAACCTGCTGCAGCAGGTTCCACAAACTTTGACACTAGGGGACACCAAGAGCTCCTTGACTATACTTCCTGTACTTTTTTTTTTTTTTTTGAAGAAGGTTCTTATGTTAGGCTCACAGGACATCAGTAAACACTGTGAGGGACTTGGCAGGAATATCCAGAGGTTGGTTTTTTTCTGACATTGCAATAGCAACTTCCAGTATTTGGCTGGTGTATGTGCATTATTACAGTTCATCAGCACTAGTTAATGCATGCATGTGAAAGGAAAAAAAAATAATTGTGGCTCACTTCTCATACCCAGTCATTGTAGAGGAAGGAGACTGCTTGAGGGGTTGCTTTCTAGAGAGTCTTACAAAAGGTAGAGTTTTACAGGTGGGACCAATAACTGTTTCTCAGATGATATTAAAAAGATTGCTATGTTGTTTGTAAATCTTCATGTATCTATTTTGGAAGTCTTTGGTTTTGTTCGATTTTTTTTGTTGTTTGTTTGTTTGCCCTTTCAAGAGGGAAGCTAAAACAAATGACAACTTGCAAGTTAATGGCTTTGTTTTTTAAAAAGAGATTTTATATACCAAAGCTTTGTAATCTTGTGTACTCTTTGACCAATTTAGTAATATTTAAATGTTACTTTTCCAGAGTAACTTGAAGGACAATTTTGCCAATACTAGAAATCGATTCAGAATAACTTTGGAAATATGCTGCTTCATACATAGTTTTCATGCTTTCTTTGAGATGTTAAAGGCTGAACTCTGCCTGTGTCTGGACTCTCAGGCAATAGATCACATAACACGTCCTTCACCTGGTCCTCATAAATAATCTCTGCTTATCACTCTGCAGGAAGGTAGGACCTACTGGAATGAGTTGGAGGAAGGATGGCACTTATTACCAACTTCAGTTTGTAAATGGTTTAATCCCTCTCATTGAGTAGAAATTTTTGTTGTTATTTTCTCAGTAAATTCCTAAGATACTGTTATTTCTTTAAGTTGATTTCAGTGTAGAAGCTGAGCTCTGTAGAGCTTACAGATCCTTCTTGTTTTATATGAAGAGAATATGATAATGAATTGTTATAAGCCTAAATTTCTTTTGCATAGCTGGGTGAAGAATTGTTTTAGCTGTGTTTTCCTGTAATAGTTGCTTAAGAAATCAACTTTCTTCCTCTTGGCTTGAGACAAAAAAAAAAAGACATGATCATGGTAGATTTCATAATGTCTTGGTCAGGCTGCAACCCGAAGCAGCAGAGATAATTGGGATGCAAGATGGAAATAGAAGACTCACAAAAATGGTGAAAAATTCACCAGCACCCTTCTTAAGTCTGATTTTTATTTTGTGCAGGAGACAAACTACCACTGCCCTTCAAGCTGGCTGAGAGAAGTGGTGGTTTCTGTCCCCACTTCTATGGTTGTGTGCATAGTTGGGGGGTTTTTTGTGTGTGTGTGTGTGTGTGTGTGTGTGTATACATACAGCTATGTATGCAGACATGCATACATGTACCTATAGCTGCATATAGTTACATGGTCCAGAAAGAGATTATTTCACTCAGTGTTGTGCATGCAGTCTGTCCCATTGAAGCTCTGAACTGCTTGTGGTTGGTTGGGTTTTTTCATTGAAGTTGTAGATCAGTGTCTTAACCACAAAACCCTCCTTATTGTAATGCTAAAAAAAAGACTTAAGAGGTTAAACAATTTATTTTTTTTATCCTACATAATGAATGTGTGTTTCTTGGGACTGTTATGGACCAATATGTTGCTGGAAACCTGTGATGGCAGCATTCCAAAACACCTCAGAAACAAAATGAAATTTCCACACTGGGGAGCAGACTTTTTTGTAAGTCGTATGATGTTCAGTGCATAGCTAAACTTATGAGAAGCCTAGTAGGAAAGAAAACCCACTCAGGGAAAGCCCTTACCTGGCCTGAGGCTTAGTTGTCTACAAGCCAGTGAGATTAACCAACACTGTAATAAGTAGCAAAAAAATGTTTCTTCTCCAAACGAGTTTGTTCACCTCATCTGAGAGGCCTCTAGAACTCCCCAAACTTGTATCAATTTTGAGGCCAGGGCAATAGTAACTGAAGTCTGAAAATCTCAATGCTAGGTGTGGGAGATTGCAGGGTGAGGGTAAAAGTGGCCAAGTGGCAAGTAGTATTTACTGGAACTCAGCTTGTGTAGGAAGGTGGCTTGCTGTGCAAGTATCTGAATTTCTAACAAATTCTGAAGGATTTCTCATGCTGGCTCATTTGCAGGCTAGTTATATGTGGATACTGATCAGGAAGGACCCTGGACCTGTTACTAAATTGTCCTTTTACATAAGCACAGTGTTCTACACTATGCAGAGTTTGTAGGAAGGTTATTCTTTGGGTGTTTGTTTTGTTTGTTTTCAAACATTGTGTATTTTTATTCCTAATACACTGTGAAATGCACTTGGCAAATGGGAAACAAGATTTTCATGGAAATCAATGGCTCAAAGTACCCAGAAGGATGGTACAGCTCCAGCAATGTACAAAAAGCTGCTGTTGGAGCTATCAGCAGGGAATGTGATCCTTGACTATTAATAGAAGCAGGGAGGTTATCTTGCTCAAATCCTGCATTCTGTTTCTGGTGCCTGCACATGAAGATGTGCAACAGCATCTAGAAAGTACTTCTATGGTATCTCATAATCTCCTTAGTGTTTCTCAATAAACAAAAGCAGTAACTTGATTGCTATGCATAGCTGCACATTGATAATGGAAGGCAATTCAGATCTTTTTCATTTACTGGCAGAAGAAAGCAAATATTCAGTGGCTAGACATTTGGTCTTGAGGCTGCTGCTTAGAATTCAAAGAACAAAAAGGCAGCTTGCATCGTTATTGAGTCTTAATGACTAAGATATGCTTTCAGCTAGCTTTGATAAATTCTTGGGCTGGGAAAGGGTGGAGGTGATCAAATTTAGATGACTGGAGGTATTCATAATACATGCAGTTCTGCATTAAGCCAACAGTAATTGGTGCCTAGGCTTTAGGATTTAACCCGACATCTCCGTGAATGGTGTAGCCAGTGACTCTTGGAAGCATTTACTGTTCAGCTTCCTGTGAACCTGTGCTCAGAGATACCAGAAAGTGTCACTTCAAGATTCCTGGCTGATCTCTTGCTCCAGGCAATAGAAGGTAGGGAAGGAATTACCCCTGTCAAATTCTGCCTTCTTCTGGAATTTAGAGTCTAATCTCCTGCTAAGGTCATTTAAGTGTGTTTCATAAGTGAATTCCCTGAAGTTGCACTCATCATGGGTATTCACAGCATCTTAGGCTTCATTTTCTTCCCGTTTTTGTTTCCTTGGATATGGACTCATTTTACCTCAGGACTGAAATGCCTTAATTTAGCTAAGGTTTTTGTATTTGATAGTGGATTTATGTATATCTTTGACTTAAATCCTGTGAAACTGCACAGGAATTGGACCAGTCTAGAAGCAAGTTCAATGGTCCTTTAAATATATGCATAAGCTTTAAAAATTATTTTCTTTAGGGGTGTCACAGCTTTAGTTAAAAAAAAAAAACTTATTGAAGGAATTTATAGGATTAAGTTAAATATACTGCATTCCTAAAATATCTTCTGAATTATGTCCAATGTGTGCATAAGTATATGTAGAGAGACCTTGTACAACACAGTATGGAGGCATCTTGCCTTCAAAGTGTTGTATTTCTTTTCCGGCTGTTGTCTTTCTGCTGGTCTGCAATGCTTTGCTGTCTCCTTGGTCAGCATATGTACACATATGCCCTTTTAATTCTTAGCAGCATCTTCTCGAAACAGTCTGTTCCTTTTGTGGCAGTGCAGGTGTAGTCAGGTATCTGCACTGTCCAAAGCAAGGGGGCGCACACGAGGGGACAGGATTTAAGAGCCCTGCCAGCGTACAAATCAGTCCTGAGTTGAGTAGGGCCCAAGAACTGGTACTCCTTTCTGCTCAACTGCTGTAACTGAGCATGCAGCATCACTGGAGCTGCTCTTGCTTCACCCACATTGATGCCTCCTAGGACACAGGCTTGGGTGCTAAGCAAAAGGAGACTTATCCAGAGCCTTGGCCTATTAACCTACAAAGCAGAGAGAGTGACAGAGACAAAAGCACTTCTTGAAGGCAAGGGAAAAGCAAGCGTTACATTGCTTTTCTTACAAGATGTATTATGCAGTGTTGCAGTTACCTTCTCTCCATGTGAATTTTTAAGCCAGGTGCTGTTTTGTTACTTGGAAACAGCCGTATTTTAGTGGTGACCTGAGTTCTTTGTACGTCAAGGGACACCAATCTGACAAACAGCAGCTGCTCAAACCCGCTATTGAAATCACAGATTACATGTATTTCAGTGAGCAATCATCCCAGCTGCACGCCTCCAGAAAGTTTGTCTACTCTGCTGATTGTCAGCAGAGTGCTGAGAAACGGGAAGTATCTTCTTGGTGTTCTCATTTGCTTTTAGGATAAAGTCTTTATCTGCCTCTTGCTTGCCCACCTCAAAGCAATGCTATCAAATTTAATGTCAGTTTGGCCAGTTAACCTCAGCCTCCTGATCCAAGGATCTTAGACAAGGTAAGAAGAGAATTTAGAGAGAAAAAAACTTTCTTAGCCTAGAAAAAGCATGTGGCAATGTCTTAAAATCTTTAGTCTACTGGACACCTATCTCTAATAAAACACTGATTGCGCTTTTTGTCAGTGCTGAACCAGTAATCCAGGAGAGTAGTCAAGGAGATACTGTAGCTCTTCTGTTGTGTAAAAATAAAACTTAGGCCATAGCTACTTCACAGTCTTAAAAATCATCCCTTTTTTCAATAGATAGGGAGTCTGACCTTCTCATTCCCTTAGATTTGAGTTTGATGGGG